AGGCGGTTAAATTATTTATTTTTCTCCCCATCTATTGTACATTATTTTCTATGTGAATCACTATATGAATCACTATAAGACGTCCTATCTAATTTTAAATTAATAATTGCGTCATGATAATACAATTTCTGAAAATCTATATAACCCTTTACTGCCTCATGCTCCTGATATACTGCAAAGGGAAATTTATTTCCATCTACCAACTCGATACTGAACGAAACATAAACTCCAATTGAAAGATCATTCAAAAATTAACGAGACAAACTGTCTGAGCATCTTTTAATTCTGTTTCATAAACAATCCGCTAGCTAACAACTGATTTGTTCAATTACAATGTTCCCTGCAAATATGAATTTGGAATATGCAGCTTCCTATTATATTTCGGTTCCTCTGAGATTCTGCCTGTTCGACGGGATTCGCGAGCCGACAAGCAAGACGTCGATCTCGCGTCAACCACGTAAAATATTCAACAATCAGAAAAGCACACGGGCATCGAGGCAACTAGAGTTTCTCATAGGGCGTATAATACATACGCGAAGAAGCGTATGCAGGCTCACAATGGGGGTTCCGTCATCGTGTTCATCGGCATGCGACTTGCCCTTCGTAGTCGTTCTTGTTAGGTTACAAAACACCGTAAGGTAGCCGCTGCGAGAATCTCCTATACTCGACGGAAACCGCGAGGACGTATGGCCGTGCGATCGTCTCGTAGCTCACCACCCACTAACGGAAGAGGAGAAACGTTGAGTAATCCAGGGACACACGAGAAACTTGATAACCAACGTGTCCGTTCGTTTCTCCCAGCCGGTTGCATTCGCAGCTACGAGGAAATAACTACGATTCCCTGTACGATGCCCCGACGATCTCGTTTCCCCCGTTGTCACACGATTAACTCACGAATCCCGTTCTTCCTCCCGATCGATGCCCGATCTCGTCCCCCGCAGATGCCTCCCGTGGTTGTTAACCACGTCGACGACTTTCTAACGTTATCGAGCCACGCGATCCGCAAAGGTAACTCATCGCATTTCCATCGCCAGCCATTTTCTCTATTATTCCAGAAACGGGCAACTGAATTGAACAAGGTTGTTACGCGCCGGGTTGTTACGCAATATCGCGGGTCGCCAGACATAGAGAGAAAAATCGCGAACGAAAACACGTCGAGCGGTTTCTTACGATTGTCCGATTGTTTCCGTTGCCTTCGCAACAATGAAGGATTTCTGACGTATATGTATGTACGTCGACGAGCGAAAATCTCTCGTTTAAGCAGCCGCGACGTATTAAAAGAAAAGGCGAGGCTCGCGTTCGCGGGCAATTAAAAAGCAGGAGCGGAGAAAAAGGTAGGGGTGCACGCTTATGACTGGATACAATTCCAGAACACGTAGGATAAAAGGGGTAAAAGAGAAGAGTAGCATGTCGGCGTTCGTAGCGCGGCAGTGGTATAGAACGGGTGATTGCAATGTAGCACGATGCGAGAACGGAGAGCGCGGTGGCTGCACCGACCGGTGCACGCGAATGCATATACATATATCTCTGCCTCGTCGTTGCACTCGGGAATGCGGTCTATAGCGCGTAGGATCGAGAGCGGACGAGCGAGGAGAGCGCAGCCGGAGAAACAAGAAGAAAGACGACGACGACGACGACGACGACGACGGTCGGACAGAGAGGTGAAGAAAGAGCGAGAAGAGTCCGAGGGACGGTCGAGAGCGCGGGCGCGAGCGCGAAACATTCTGAGCCGAAGAGAAAAGAAGAGAAGAGAAGAGAAGAGAAAATGAGAGAAGAGAAGAGAAGAGAAAATGAGAGAAAGAGAGGGAAGGAGAGCGTGCACAGCAGTCGTAAACGGCAACAATTGCTGCGGGCGTTGCCACTCGAAAGCTCGAGTGCCTAATGCCAGATGTCAGACGGTGGTTAGAGTCATTACGGTCATCACTTTGTACCGCGATACACGATGTGTACCACCGGCCGATGCACCGTCGTCGTCGCGCGCGCGGAGTGCATCTTCTGCCCTCTTCGGAAACGCGATCCGTCCGCCGATGCAACTTGGCCATCTTCTAGCCTCCTCCGTTTGCAGACGTGTCGTACCCGTTTAGATTATCGATCCTGATCGAGTCGCGTGGCGATACTCTCGGCTGGCGAAATGTATCGGAACACAGCGGTAGCAGAGTGCCTGCTGGCAACACTATTTCCCTTCTCGTCCGTCCTTGAGGGAAAGGTTGGACGCAAAGTCGAACAAAAGACTCCGCGGTTTAATGATCCTCGGTTGCCAGTTAGGACGTATAGTGGACGTATAATGGAAGGCTTGCACGAAGATGAATCGGAACCCGTGACCCGCCACGTAGTACAGAAAGACGGATACTCGGCCAATGGAGGCGAGTAGTTTTGCGCACGAACGCGCACCGTCTCTCGCTAGCGCACACGTAGAAGGGGGCAAACCCGCCAACACGGCAGAATCCGACGATCGAAAATCGAACTAATCGCTAAACATTTAAACTACTTCGTGCGAGGATGATTTAAACGAGAAGCAGGCGAATCGTCAACGAACGATCGTTGATTGACAGAAGGGGAAGACGAAAGAACGAAAAAAGGGGTGAGTCTCGGTGTGGGAAACGCGAGAAGATTTGACTCGCGCCATCTCGGCGGAGTACTTTTGAAACTCGTTTTCGGACTATGTAGCGCGAACGTACGTACATACAAATGTATGTATGTATGTATGTATGTCTGGTCTCTCCTCGTTCGCCGTTCGAACCGAGTGAAGAAACAAGACAAACAGGGGATAGAGAGGAGAGACACACGATGTTACGAGAGAAGGTGAGCGAGCGAGAGGAGAGAAAGCGAAGAATCAAAGGGGTGGAGCCGTGGTACGAAAAGGGGATGGAGCGAAAAGAAGCGGCCGGTTCGGGCTCGAGAGACCGGGTGGGAGAGGCCGACGAAAAATCTGTAATTATAATAATTACAGCCGTGCGGCCAACAATTATAAATCATCATTGAACTAGGCAACGAAACACCGATAAAATATATATCGTACGAAAGTTTGGAGCAGTCATTACAATCCGTTGGTCGCTGGTGTACGCGCACGCGTGTCAGACCGCCTACCGGATACACCACGCTCGGTGCACACTCGGCCGCACCACCCAATTGAAAAATGTACTTGTTCGTTCCTCTCAATTTCCATCGGCATTCGACATTCGCCGCTTCTCCGCTGAACGCGGATGACAATCCAATCGGAGAAAAAAGAAGGCACGCGTTTCGCTCGGCCAGATGGACGGCCGTTCGTGTGGGAGAGAGGAGATCTTTTTCTTCCGCATCAGCGAGCATCCTTCTCCCACTATCTTCTGCTTTCTCTCTCTCTCTCTCTCTCTCTCTCTCTTTGTCTTTATCTATGTCATTCGCGTCTCTCGAAGTCTGCACAACCCACGGATCTTATGAATGACTGCTTGCCTCATCGCAACAGCAACGATTACCACGCGATTGTATTACAGATCGCAGGGAATCGTCACGCTCGATATTAAACGCGTAAGAGTGGCGCGGTTCGAACGCCGAGTACTTGGAAATTTCGGTCGAGCGGAAGAAATGGGTTACCGCGGTCATTGGTTAGACAGGCCGCAGGAACGTGTAACAACTTCGTTATCGTACGCGAACGACAGTGCAAGTATAATGTTACTTTCGACGATTACGCGAAGCGTAAGACGATCGTCCTTAAAAGGGGTCAACAGATAAGGTATGCGCTCGGTCTCGTCCTCGCGTGAGCGACCGAGCGCGTAATCCCCTTTCGTGGCCACGATCGTCGGACGTCGTCGGTCGGTCTCAAATTTCAGGAACGCGCGACACGTTCGCGCCTCGCGAATGCCTGGTACCTCGAAATTAGTTTACCTACATCTGCCAGAAGTCTAGGAAACGGGAGATAGTCTGAGAATAAGATCCGCTAGCTGATCGGAGCATCAGCGAGCACACGGCGCGGTAGGAACGTACCGATCGCAAGCACGCTCGGCTCGTAAAGCAACCACCGGTGTCGAGAGCAACTTGTTCTCGGCCTAACACCGCTTCGGGGAAGAGCATCTCGCCGCTGCCACAAAGAAAACTCTCGCAACAGGTTTCCCTGCGCGAGTGGAACCCGCGTCCCTGGCACGTGTGTTCATCGAACGTTCGCCGCTACTAGCCAGCTACTAGCGTGCTTTTCCCCGACAAATATTCGTCAAACATTCGTGAAACACTGTTGCAGCACATTTTCTCGTTCACTTTCCTGTGCGCGTTCTCTCGTCGTATTCCGGGTGGCGACTAGAACGCGAGTCGCATGTCGACTCGATAAACACGCACGCGGATTTATTTCGGTTTCACAGTCTGTCTATCGTCCGACAGACTGGAATCGCTAATCCTCGAATCACGATCCAACAAGCGATCCAACACAGAACGTCGATCGATTACGTATCGTCGGAGGAATATTTTTTACAATGTACGCGGTTCCCTGCTAATTGCCAGAGGGAAGGCGCGGAGAAAACCTCTCGAAACACGGCGCGGTACCAATTACATTGCGAGTTTCCCAGCGTATGTACGTATAACGTGGATACGTGGCTCGCGGCGCTGCCCTTTCAGCCGGTTCGCACATTTACCAGAAACCTTTAACAACGCGGACGATCGACACCGGCGAAACGTTCGGCCGTCTTGTGCAACGATTAAATGCGAAATCTACCAGGAAGAATCGTGTCGCTTTCGCCGGTCAAACCGGCAGACGCACCGTCCCATTCGCGCTATTAATTCGCCTGCCGCGTAACAATCTGCCGCTGATCGGTCTGATGATGGATCAATTAGGAGGCTTCGTCCGTCGAACGATCGACGAACGTCAATCTCTCGGTAGTGGTACGTACGTAAGTCTCTGCTTTGAACACGAGAGACGTGACTGTCGTAGTTAATCGTAGGACGACACGTTCTTCGCGGCTTGTCGCCGGAAGTTACGCAACGCGATACGATGCGACGCGTGCAAACAAATAGGCAGAGGAATTCTCTCTCACCTTGAGAAAGCAGTGTCCAACGGGCATATCCTCGGGTACGGTGGCGTTGTACAGCGGTTTCTCGAAGATCGGCTCGTTGTCGTTGAGATCGTGGACGGTGACGCGAACTGTCGCACTACTACTTAACGGCGGACGACCGGAATCGGTGGCGATAACCACTAGAATTGGCGCAGGATCAGCTTCACAGTCGACGTGAGTCCGCGTGGATATCAAACCGGTGGTTTCGTCGATGGTGAACCACGTGGAATTAAAAATAGAGTACTTGATGGCGGAGTTGGCACCTTCGTCGAGGTCCGTAGCAGTCACTTTCAAAACCGGGGTACCCGGCTCCGAGGCTTCGAGCAAATGGGCCTCGTACATTTCTCGGCCGAATTTCGGGGCGTTGTCGTTTACATCCGTGACGAGAAGACGAAACGTTCGGACGGCTCGCAACGGAGGTGTGCCAGCGTCGGTCGCTTCCACCGAAAGATCGTAAACGGGCTTCTCCTCGCGATCCAGCGGCCTCTCAACAACCACTAGGTATATGATGTTGTCTCTGGTGGCCAGGCCAAAGTGTCCTTCGCCACCGGTCAACGTGACAGTAGCGTTCGAATACTCAGTCCTCGAGTCCGGATCGCTCACCGATATCCTGGCGACGAATTCTCCTGGCTGGGCGCTCTCGCTGATCTTGGGCGTTGCGTCGTCCGAGAGGAAGATCACTGTGATGGCCGGTTGATTGTCGTTTACGTCGGTTACACGGACCGAGAGGAACGCACTCGCCTCGAGAGGCTGGGCGCCGCGATCCCGCGCAACGATCACCAGTTCGTGCCGCTCTTTCGATTCAAAGTCCAACGCCTTGTTCACGTAAACCATGCCGGTTTCCGGATCGATGCGAAACATCTCCTCGCGATCCGATTGCCTCCGATTGATGGAATACTCGATTCGGCCGTTGTCGCCAGCGTCGCTGTCCGTCGCATTCACCTCCAACACCGACGTGCCGACGGTCGCATTCTCCGGTATGCTGGCCACATACCTCGTCTGATTGAAAATCGGCGGATTGTCGTTCACGTCCTGCACAGTCACATTCACGTGCAGCCTCGTGCGAAGCGGCGGAGCACCGCCGTCCAACGCCTCTATCACCAGATGATACCGAGAACGAGCCTCGCGATCCAACGATCCGGAATTTTGCAGATCCAGATATAAAACACCGTCGCGACCACGATGCTGCGACAGTCTAAACGCATCCCCGTGATTTCCGGACACGATCTCGTAACGTTGCGTCGAGTATTGGCCGAGATCGGGATCCTTAGCGGGCGGCAAGGCTCGTTTCGCATCGCGAGGCGAATTCTCCGGGAACTCGACGTCCACGTGGTCCACAGGAAACGTCGGCGCATTGTCGTTCTCGTCGAGAACCTTCACCACCACCTGAATGTTCTGCGGCAGAGCGACCAAGCTGTAGGACGGTCTAGTCTCGCGATCCAATGGCACTTTTGTCCTTATCTCGCCGGTCGCGTGATCCACTATCAAATCTGAATCAACCGCCGACCCGGAAACCGACACGATCAAATACGGCGGGCTATCGGCGTCGATGAAACCCACCCTGGTTCCTGGTCGAGCATTCTCCGAGACCTCCAAGTATCTTACGAGCTCAGACCGTGCGCCCGGGGCGAGAACAATCGCTCCCAGGACGAGGAACAGTAGTAGCAGGTGCCGCATCCTGGGGCCTCCACAACCGCCGCCGCCACCACCACCTTCGCCTCCGCCGTCCTTCGCTATTATCTGGATCTTTCCATTCCTGAACGATCGATCGTTAGAGGACGCGGCGGCACCGTTCGATACCTCCTAATATTCTTCATGCGGCCACGAAATTTCCCTTTCTCTCTTTCTCTCTCTCTCTCTCTCTCTCTCTCTCTCTTCGGCGTTCCTTGCCGACAATCAGCGTCTTGTACGCGCGTCCGTTGTTAAAAATCCGGCGGAGGAAAACGCGTGTACGCGATCAAACGGCACATTAATCACCCACTAGCAGCACCAGCACCAACCACAATCACGTTTTACCTTGGTCGTTCCTCTCGTAAACACTTCCACTTCTAAGAGTTGCGTTCGACTGTTGCGTTGCGTTCGCGCCTGTATCCCACAGAGGCTATAATACCACAACCAGCCGAACGTCTCTGCAAAGGTGACTGCGCTAGATTAAAAACATGCCGTTGGCCAGACCAGCGCGCGATACCTCCCCGTGGAAATTCCTTCGGTGGATGCGAGCTTATCCGACCTCGTTCTACGTTGTTCTCCGTCTTCTTTCCTCCTCCCACCGTCTTTTCCACCACTCGCGTTCTTCCTCCTTTCGTTCTAGCACCGCGCAACACCCTCTCTCTCCCTATCGCTCCTATTCCTTTCTCTGTCTCTCTCCGTAGCGAGCCGTGGTATCCGCGCTGTCCTCACCTTTGCTGGAATATCTTCGCCTCGAGATATCGTACATTCCTCGCGTTAGATTCACGTCCGATAACTCGACGATCAACACGACCGGTCGCGAACCCGGCGCGATCGTTTCGCGTCTGGTACGCCCTTCATCTCTCTCTCTCTCTCTCTCTCTCTCTCTCTCTCTCTCTCTCTCTCTCTCTCNTCTCTCTCTGTCTCTCTCTCTCTCTCTCTCTCTCTCCCTCTCTTCCTTTCTTTTCCTTCTCTCTTAGCTTCCGTCGGGTTTCCACCAAAAGTTCGCTCCTCGCGCTCGCGCGATTTGCGGATTCGCGGTTTGATCTTTATACCGCCAACGGTCCTGCGCTACTTCCTTCCATTCTCATTTTTCTCGATTCATGTATCGTAAGCTCATTTCCTTCTCCTTCTCCTCTATCGACTTCCGAATTTGAGGAATCTTGTACTCGCGTCGAAACGACACCAGTTGCGGTTGGTCCTTCCTCGAAAAATTGTCACGCGCGCGACACGCTACTGCTACTTGGACGATGACGACGAATCACGAACCACGAAACGCGATGCGACGCCACGACGCGCGATAAGAAAAAGAATGTTGCGAGATGCGCTGGAACGACGAGCTTATACGAATGCACGACTCGATACGACCTTCTCGGTCGCGTATCGTAGGACGTTTACTCCATCGTAGTCTCCTTTCGCCTCGATACACTCCTCTGCCTTGGCTGCCTGTTTATATGCTCGATCCGAATCAATAGCGAGCCGCTTCGAAATCGTACGCACACGCGATCGAGCCGACGCGATGCACAACGCGATGCTCGCGACGAATTTAGTTAGCCTCAAGCGTGATTTACGTTCAGGCCGAAAGGGCAGCGGCGAGAAGCAAACGAAGCACGAGGTGTTACGTTCTTGGGCCCAGCGTCCGTTCCGCGCGGCTTCGAGGTTAGGCATGCACTGACATGGCGGCACCTGCAAGGCCTACCCTTCCCCTGACTTGCTGGACTCGGCTGACTCGATCAGGGGGACCCGGCTGGGCCCGAACGGCGGCCATCTTGGAGAGGGGAGAGGTAGTACGGCCGGCTCCGATATACCGGGGCCTCAGCATTCAGCTCGCTTCGCGGCACCGAGCAGCTAGACTATACCAAACTCTGCTTGCTTGCTTGCTTGCTTGCCTGCCTGTTTGCTAGCATGCTTGCCTGCCTGCTTACTTTCCTGCTTACTTGCAAGCATACTTGCCAGCTTACTTGGAAGCTTACTTGGCAGCTTATTTTGCTGCTTACTTGCCCGCTTATCTACTTGCTCGCTCTCTGCCTGCCTGCCTGCCTGCTTGCGTTTGCTCTCCTGCCTGTTCACTCGCATGCCCGCTTGGTTGCGCCTCTTTCTGTCTGTCTTTCTCTTTTCCCCTCCAGTTTCTCCCTCTTTCTCTCCTGCTCTTTCTACATCACGGTCCTGCTCCTTTCTCTCGGTATTTCCTCCTCTTTCTCTCACCTCGCAGACTTCTCATCTCTCTGCTCGTTTAGCTCGTTCACCACCATCCAACCTACCTGAGCGCCCGGTATGCGAAGAACCGACTTACCATCGGCGCTCATTCCGCGCTCACCCCTACGAGCCTCTTCTACGCCTGTGCCAAAGGTCCTGGAATTTCGTGACGTGACGAGAAAGATTCCGGATAGTTTGCATGCTGAGTACGGACTTTCGTTTTTTGTACTGAAAACGTTGAAATGCGACGGACGAGCTGACGCTTCGTTCGACAGAACAACGATTTTATTTTGCTAACTATGCCACGCTCTGTCGAGCATAGCGCAAGTTTCTTTTCATTTCTCGATACACGAATTGGTACGCGCGGCACAGATATCATCATGTTCTTCGATAAATTTGATTAGATCACGCGGAATTGTAGCCCTTATGTTCTTAAGAACATAAAATTTGCATCTTTTGAAACGGCGAAATTTTGACAATCTGTCAACGTGTGAAGGCAAGAGAACGATGTTGCTTTTCGGAGTAGTCGCAATAGATTTTGATTATACACGCTTTGAAATGTTCCACATTGAAATGTTCCATTGGAAGAGTAAATCGGCGGTAGATACGCAAGACGAGTGATAAATTCTCGTGTTAATAATTCCATACATCGCCGATGACATCACTCGTGACGCGGTTGGTGCTGTCAAGAATCCAAAAGCTCGGCCCTTCTTAATAAAAACCGGACAAATTAACAAACTCCTCATATGGGCACGCGTTGGAATTTCATATGCGCCAAGAATTCAGATTAGCGCGCAGCTAACTCGCAGCTCTGATATCTCGTGACGTTCACCGAGCAGGGAACTCTGCTATCTGTTCCACTGTCATCCAGAAGAGAAAGACGATGCGAGAGGTTTTATGAGATCGACGGAAATGTCAACATTCCCGCGCGAAATCAAGCTAAAACGAATGGAAAGATCCATCAGTTCCGTCGGCTCGCGCGACGCGTCTCGAGGGTCGAGGACCCTTGCTTGGCTCCTCTACCTGACTCTACGACGAGTAGGCAGATAAATCCGCCGCCTACTACTACTCGCTACGGACAATGCGCTCGAGATGGTGCATCATCGTCCGTATTGTTTGCATAGCCATCAGCCACACGGCCCGATCTCTCGCAGGTGCTGGATGCAGGATAGAGATCCGACTACAAACGCGTAACGCGCTTAACGCGAACAACGATCATCGTCACAAAAATTTCTCATCACGTCGGAAAATTTCGAAAATGCGATATGCACGAAAAATGCTACCATCTTTTCCAAACTGCATACACATATTTCTTCGCGGTGATTCAAGTTTGTCCGAAACCAAGATATCGACGACATGTTCTTTTGTCATCTCTGTCTTCTCTCTTCCTCTCATCGTTGTCGTCTTCTTCTTACTCTTCTCGGTTTTCTTCTATGGTCAACAGTTTTTTCCGCGTCCTTTTATTTTCGCCGTGATTGTCCTCCTAATTCTCCACGACTCCGCGATTCTTCCCTCCTCCTTCTTCTTCTTCTTCTTCTTCTTCTTCTTCTTCTTCTTCTTCTATCCCTATCCGAGTTGGATCGATACTTCTTCTTCGTTCCGAAGAGTGAGAGAGAAGGAGAAGGAACTGTACAACAGGAGTGCCATTGTCACCGTTCAGACGCCTCCCCATTAAAGAACGTCAGGGATTTCTACGAAATCTTTCCGCTGTACGCCAATTTCGGCGCGGCATGGTGGCACGGTGGCATGGCCGTTAGGGGAAAATTACAGAGTTCGGAAATAAAGGGAGAAAGAAGAAGGAGATAGGGAAGAAGTGGAAAGAACCAAAGTGATCTGCGGATGCGAGAAAAGAGCACGCCACGATAATCCGAGGCCGAAGAGAGGAAAGGACCGACAAAGCTCTCGTCATTAAGCGAAATGATTGCCGGTCGCGAGGGCCACCTACACCCTAACTTGCTTCCAAGGACGAGTCTCTGATGAAAGACCACGAACTTTTCTAAAAGAACTCGATGGGTTTCAATGGGCCGTTAGAGCTTCCGGCATGCTCTATCCTTCCAATACGTTTCCCTTTGTCATTTCGAATGCGCAATCTCTTTCTTCGTGATGATTCGACGAGAAGAAGCATCTCTCTCTCTCTCTCTCTCTTTTCTCTGATCGAAAAAAAATTCGAATTTCACGAAAGAAAAATCGAAACTGTGTGTAAAGAGAAGCGGCAGAGGAGGAAGAAGAAATAGATAAAGGAGAAACAACCAAGTTGCGAGCTGAGGTGGCAACGATGGTCCAACCAGCTTGGACTGAGAGCGCGATCGAGTTACCAGTTTCGAATGTCCGCCAGTAGTCGTGAGTGGCTCTAGAATTTCGCGCTCGGATTTCGTAAAAAACGTAATTTCCAAATAGATAGAGAATAGTAGAGAGAGAGAGAGAGAGAGAGAGAGAGAGAGAGAGAGAGAGAGAGAGAGAGAGGTTGATAGAAGAATTTTGCGTGGCCATCTTCGATCTATGGCCTTCCCTCGCTCGATTTCGTTGCTCTTGGTTTCTTAGTTTTTATGTAAGGCGGTGACCGTTCGTACCGTGAGCTTCTCCATTCCAACTTTCTCATTCCACTTAACTGCAGCGAGCTATACTAATGTAGAATAATAGGGTGGAAAAAAAAGGATGACTGGGAAGACGAAGCAAAAGGGAAGAAACCAAGCTAAGAGATTTCGTCGAGGCGTAGTAGAGGGGCACTGAAAATTGGGAACTGGTGGGGGTGATGGAGACCAGCCACATAATGACAGGGTGCCTCGCGCCAAGGCCCCGCTAACGAACCGGCCCACGAGACCCAAAAGGGTCCAGGCTAGGAGACGACACTGTATTATTTTACCATTTCGGGGGTCGGGGGCATCATCAGAAATCATCGCCGAATCCATATAATCAGTAGACGGTTACGTGCAGCCATGATTTTAAAAGCAGAAGGAAGGGGACCGAGAGGGGTAGAAAGAACGAAGGGAGAGAGGATGAGACCTAATAAGGCAAACGGTGGTAGGTACTTCGGTATCTTCGTCCTCGTCATCGTCCTCGTCCTCGTCTTCACTTTCGTCGTCGTACTCATCCACAACTGCATCTTCGTCATCGTCGTCGCCCGTCCCTCAAACATCTCTTCGACTTCTGAGTCCTTGATACCAACTTATAGTACTCGTTGCGGCCACTAATGACACGGACCCGATAAAAAGTAAACCCCTTCTACCTTTCTTCCTTCCCTTCTCCTCCGCTATCTTGACGCGTTACACGAAAGGCAGGCCTTAAAACGTTCCAATGAGCTCGCAAATGCTCGACAGAACGATTCTGGAGCACGATCAAAGACCAATGTATGAAATTATACCAAAAAACAAGAAAAAAGAGAACAAAAAAAGCATGCGCGCATGCTACGCTATGAACTAGCAAAAGAATGGAAGATTCGAAAAGGATTCGTCGAATACCCTAAGTGTTTATTCCTTTCTTTTTATTCTCTGTAATTCATTTTATTCGAAAGCTACGACAGAAAAGTTGGTCCATTAATAATCCACGTATGGACAGAGAAATATAAAATGTAAAAAGATAAATGTATTAGTATATTGAAATGTCAGTTTTTGCACCTGCGGAAAAGCATCGTGAAGATCGTGAGAAGATCAAGATTAGGATAATAAGAAAGGATATGCGATTACATAGTGAAAGTTAATGGATAACGATCTAAATGA